ACAAGGTAAATCTAGATTTGAAATGGTTAGAAAATGAGTTGGAAATGTGCTGGAAATTGGCTAAAAATGGCACCTGATGAGATGAAAAAATGTGAGCAAGGGAAATGTGAGCATATGTGAAAAATTTGACTCACCTTAAATCTCCTAATCAGCTGCCACGTGGACTCCCTTTTGATATGAAATAATCATGCCTCCCATGCTCCTTAAACACTTAATAATGTGTCTCTCAATGCTTCTTGTAACCTCCTCCCATATCCTTTAGATACAAAAGAAAATTAATAGAACCACCACTGAAACACACCAATCAGTAATAAAATATTTTGTTTGAAAAGCTTTGGTTAAAGAATTGTTTTGCAAAATTACTAAAATCATACCATATCAGAGCATCATACAGCATAAGGCAAAAAGTTGCATTCATATCATTCATTGCATGCCCTAAAACCCATAAAATCAGGTTGGAAATTAGGGCCATGCACTGTAACGTGCAGTATGTGCATCATAACATGCGGCACAGAGCCATATGCCTAATTCTCTATGACATGTGCCGCAACATGAAACATCATGCACCGCGGCACGCCAGTCTAAAATTTCTGCTGTCATTTTGACAGTAAAATGACAAACTTCAGGCGTGCACCGTTTTCACATATGATGTCCAATCGGAGTGATTCAAGCACCCAGACAAAACTTATCTCATAAGTTAGCTAATGAAATAAGTTTGGACACGATCTATGGTCCGATCAAAATTTGGACACTCGGATGCAAAAAGTTACCTTTTTTAAAAGTTTTGTGCACCTAAGCACTCAAATCAATCCCTTTCTCTTATTAGACCACACAAGGCCTTGAATCAAGTTCAAAAGGTCCTCATACACCTAATTAATCATAATATATCCCAAACATACATGTATATTGAAATTTGACCCCTTAACGATCAATTTCTACATTTTTCAACTTTCATAATTTGCCATCACTTAGCATAACATAGCCCACTTGGACCTTTCTTCACACATATTCACCTAAAATCACATTTGCTACTCAATCTTAACCCTAAATTACTCATTTTTTCATAATTTGACACATAGGCTTATGATTCACTAACATTTACAACGTTTTCAACAAATACACATATAAATCTTAACCCTTAATTCAATTTACCACATATATACACAATTAGGCTGAGATTCTACAAAATCACTACTCAAAACATTCATGCAACTCCATGGCAAATCATATACACATATATATACAAGTTCTCAGTTCATTACACAATTTCAGAGACTTTCATTACAACAGCACCACTATGCCGATCCTATCTCTCTCCCTTTGCCTTGATCACTACCCTGTCCTGTAAAATTTAACCACGACGGGTGAGATAAAAATCTTAGTAATGGAATAACTCACTCCTATTAACTATCACATGCAACTATTTGAAAGTAAAGCATAATATATCATTTAATATAACATATCACATATTTTATTTCAAATATCTCTTATATCAATCAATTCATCTCTTTTACACTTGTTTCACCACTTTTCTCCACTTTTATAGCATATAGAAACGTATAGCATCACATAGCATGATTACTACTAACCGAACCTCTAAATCACCTCAACATGAAACTATAGGCTCGCCTTATATCAATATACACTCTCATTGGCCCTAAGCTTACTTTTAGTGGTAGAATCACCTGACCAAATGTGTTCTATCTCACTTTCAGACTATGGTTTTCCCTAATACACACAATAGGGTATTGTTGACTTTAACACTGTGTCATACAGACACTAAAGAGTCTCATATCTCTAACACCGCACCTCAATAAGCACTAAAAAGATCTTCTCCAACACTACACCTTGAAAGGTAATAATAAGGAGGTATAATTCTCCAACACCGCACCCCGTCGGGTACTAAGGAGAATATGCCATATGATCTTATCACTACCTCTCTACTCGAGTGAACTCTCATCCCTATAATCATGCTTTTCAAACCACATAGTTTCCAAATCCCCATTTATATACTTTCTCACACATAACATATATATATATATATATATATACATACACACATATCATATGAAATCACATTTTTCTTACTCACTTTTTGCTCAAAAGCTATTTTCATGCAACATTCATACAATGCTATAAAACATACTTAGCTCAAAACACTTTTATGTACTACATAATATACTCACACATAGTTACAATAAATAATCAAACAAGGAAGTTATTCAGTTACCTGAACCCTTCTATCACTAGAAAGGTTACCTATAGATTTCAACCACCACTATAGCTTATCACAAGCTTCCTTTCTCAACTCACACGCTCAATATACCAATTTGAACACATTTGGCACAATTCAATCATTTAGTCCAAATTGACTAAAAATACATTTTCACTACTTATGGCTATATTTAGCTATGTATTCTTTTTCATTTATCCATCTTATATTCAATACTACTCGATTACTACTTTACATTACCTTAACCGGTCTCATCTCAGTTAAATCAAATTTTCACCCTAAAATCTCCCTATCTTAAGGCCAAATTGAGCCTACAGGTTCAAAGCTCTATCGTTCAGCTTTAAACCAGTCGTAAAGTTCTAGTTTAACTCTCGAGAACCTTTTTATTACTGTTGGGTAAGAATCAAATCCCTAAAATTTCACCAATTCAATTTCTCTATAACTCATATTTAGAGAAATTTGGGTAGAATGAGAGGTAAAGGTTATACATAGCTTACTCCTAAGTTATCGATTAGAAGCACCTTTCAATGACTTGAAATGGCTTGCCCTAGTACACCAGCCCTTCTCCTCTTCTCACTTTCATGTGTTTTGAATTTCTTCCTTTTGAAATTTCTAAAATTTCACAACTTAAGAAGTTATTTTCTAGTCCATGCACCGTGGCACATGTAGCACGGGCCGTGGTGTGTGGCACAATGAGAATAATTCTCACCATACGCACTTGCTTCAACCTGAAACGTAATCCTTTCACCTATACATGTTCATACAACATCCCAACAAGTCAAACTATCAAGTAATCATCTAAATCTCTAACCCCACACTAATTACCACTTTACCCTTAATTAACAGCCGATCACGGGATTAAGAAATTCAAGATGTTACACTTCCCATACTCCTTTGTATTTATTTAATTAATCTCCTCAATTAATTTGAAAATGCCAAGTGTCTTTAATGTGTTCCATGCTCATTTGCTCCAAATTGCCTAAGCCTGTGCAACATAGACTCCTGATTCACGCCAATCAGTTCCTTCTCTTCATCCTTTATTTATTTACTATCTCTTCAATTCCCCTAAGCAAGTTGACTTAGCCTTTGATCATAATTGCCCTTACAAAATTTGAAAATAAAAGCACAAAGACTAAATAAATTCTAAAAATGGAGAATTAATATGAAAGAGAAGAGAAATAATGCTCAAGATATCAAATTAGGGTTTGGAAGTAATAATTCAACACCAATTAGCAAGATTAGGGTTCACATAATCAAAATAGATTAGACAACTTAAAACCAAGAATGAAACCCTAATTTGCACAATTTGATATCAAAACCAAGTGTTTTGATATATAAAATGTGTGAATGATTATGGTCCAATCGATATGCATAAGAGAAAACATATAAGATATCATATTATGTCATGCATATGAGAAGAATACTTTGTGTGTATGTATGTGTACGCTTTTATCATTTTGAACATATAGTCTGAATATAAATATGGCTTAAGCTCAATAATCTTTGGAGAAAAATGATTGAATAAAGTATAGAAGATGTTTTAGCACAAATAACAATTTCTCCCAAATTTATAATATGAAATAATATAAGTGAAACATTTTAAAATACTTGTCCCATAGTTATAATTAACTACTATCTATATGAAAACATTAAAGCTTAAATATAGCTAACTTCTATAACATTTGTCATTACCAAAACTTACATAAAACAGTTCAACAATCAATGCTGGAACTCCAGTGGCAAGTGGTGGTGGGTTTTGTTTTTGTGTTTTTTAATAAACCAAGGACATTTAGTAATTGAAAAACCAGAAGCTTTAATTCCAATTGATAACCTATGGCTTTTGTAAAAGTTTCAAAATAATGTGTTTTACATGCGATCATTTCTCTTTAGGGGGTCCTCGTTGATATTCTCCCTTTCAAATTATTTCGGGCTTTGCATGCAGTTATTTCCCTTAAAGTGTTGTTGAGACTAGTTTCAGTGCTCATCACATAACGGGCAACCTAAAAAATTTAAATAGTCCAAATTTTAAGATTTTATTTTATATTTTTATTTTATATTTATTATAAAAAACTATAAAATTTTAATAAATCTATTTTATCATCAATGTGAATAATACATATTTAATGTGGATGGTCCAATTTAATATTAAATTTTTATTTTTTTATAAATTGATTATTCAAATGTACTTTGGACAATCTGGATTTAAAATTTTCAAGTTACAATTTTTTTTCTTAATTTTTTTAAAGTGCCACTTTGAAGATTGTCTTTATTTTTATTTTAATATTATATTTACTAAAATAAAATTTATAAAAATTCTAAAAGATTTATTATTAAATTCAGAGAGTCTAGAATATATCTGGATAGTCAATTTATAAAAATTATAAATAAATTTAATATTAAATTAGACCATTCATATTAAATTTATGTTTTTTAAATTAATGACAAGATATATTTATTAAAATTTTATAATTTTTTATAATGAATATAAAATGAAAAGATTAAAATAAAATAGTAAAATCAACGGTCCAGATGATGGTGCGCATCAAGCCAAACGCATAAGCACGCAAACCAAACGCCCAATTCATATCCTGAGCTTCTCCCAATAATGTCATCGTAATCTTTGTGGGGTCGAATGGTTATGTGGCAACATTTGGTTCGACTATGGACGTGTAAAACCAAAATTACATGACAGTCCCTGCATATTAAAATTCCATTTTCGAATTGCAACTTGACTTCCGCATGCTCAACATGGGATATAAATGTCAAAACGAAATAACGCCCCATGGTCGAAACCGTTGGGAGGGATCTTCATCGCTTCAAATCAACGGAACCAAAGAGACAGAGAATGGCATAGAATATTTGCGTGATAGAGCAGCAGCAGAGGTTTGAAGAGAATAGATTTTCCGGTGGAGGGTTTTCCGAAGATGATCAAATGGACAAAAAGATTAATATCCGCATTTGGGCCCTCCTTCTTTGGTTGATATGCTTGATTTACTTCACTCAGGTTCCAATTCTGCATCCTTCATCGCCTTCCTGATAATATTTGAATCTTTGCGTTGGATCCGTGGCTAGGTTCACAATTTTTTACGGAAATCTTCGAATTATTTTGATATTGAAATATTGATTTTGCTACATTTAGTTAAGGTCGATTCATGGTTTTTCTCTTTTTCGACTTTGGTGCGTTCCATTTTTGTATGTGCTGCAGCTGCCAATCGCAATTTCATAGAGAAAGGGTTCATCTTCTGAGTGTTCATGAGCTTGGTTTTGTTCCACCGTATAAATTGGTTGTTCTGTTCTTAACTTTTTAGGTTACTGCTGCTAGTTTTTACTTATTTCAATGTCTGTCGCTCTTACGATAGGAACTCTCTTAAGATAGGAATCCTTTTTTTTTTTACATTATTATTACTCCATATATATAGCCATTATGTTTTTAAGCATTTTAATTTAATTTTCATATTTTGACCCCTATAAAATTTTACGTAAAGTTGTCATTTATCTTAACTTACCCCGCTTCTTAAATTAAGGGATTTTAATTTCCGTAAATAAAAATATCCTAAAAAGTTACAGTTTAGGAATGTTCTTACGAAGATACTCAAAATTGAATTTCCAATTTTCTTCTATACTATCACTCTATTAACTCTTCAGATGCAGGGTTTCAGGTCTTTTGTCTGGACGGCAATTTCCTACCAACTCAAAGATAAACTTAAATTGTCACCAGCAGCATCTCAATATGTATCTTCTATAGCATTTTTCCCATGGAGCATTAAACCATTATATGGGTATGGTTCATTGGATTTTACCTGTTGTTGAATATTAATACATAAAAACTTGCACTGATAATAAGACTTTTACATGTGTACATTAACTAATTTGCAATGTAGCTTGAGGAAGAACTACATTTGATGTCAACGTATATAATTCTGTTTATGATTACTAGATATTTGTTTGGAAGTGATATGGCACCATAACAGTAAGAACTCTGTCAGACTGTCAGTTTAATGTTATCGTCTTTTCCTACAAAGCAGATAATGACATAGAAATTATTTTGATTTTTAGTATGAGGAAGAGAGAAAGGGGTTGTGGGAAAGGAAAAAATTAAGTTAGGATATAAATTTAAATGTGGAGTCATAGGGAGAGGAAGATAATTGACTCCAAGTTTCTGTAATTGGTGCCAAGGAGTATGATTAATTGGGAAGAAAGTAATGCTAGAGTTGGTATTTAGCCAGCAAAGAAGCATGTAGTGTAGACGTATTTTGAAAAAAAAAATCATGTAGAGTCATTTCAATGCAAGTTAATTTGCATTTTACAAATTTTTGGAAGCTTGGTAATTGGACACGAATTTTCCATGACAAGGAGGGGAAAAATATTGGGGAATTGGTAGTAGTGTACTGTAAAAAAATATATAATTTACAAGTCTCTTTTGTGGCTGATCTATGGGCTACTCTTTGAAATTTTGAATGTATGTTACTTGAAAAATCCTTATTAGTGTACTTCTTTTCATTTAGAAATGTTTTTAAGATGTGAAACAGGCATTTGTGGTTCATGCTAGAGCATTTTAGATTCTTTCTTCAACATGCTAAACTATGTTGAGAATTAAAAGCTTCTACTTATTGTACATTGTGTACATTAGCCTTTAAGTTTACTAAATCAATTGTGCCGCTTCCTTACAAGCTGATTTGCTTACTGCTATGCAGAATAATGTCTGATTGTATACCAATTAGAGGCAGAAAAACGAATTCCCTACCTAGTGATTGCAACTGTGCTTTCTCTAGTTCCATGGCTTATTTTAGGCTCAATTCAGCCTCTAGGGATTCAAAATGGCATCTGATGATATTCTTAACAGTGCAAAACTTGGGCTCAGCCATGGCAGATGTTGTGGTCGATGCAATGATAGCTGAGGCAGCAAGATATGATCGGTATGTTTGTATACTGATTTCTTCTTTCTAATCATCTGCCAAAAGAACTTTGGTATGTTGTATCACATGCTTGCGCACGTGCACAAGGTTTCACAGTTATTGAATAACATGTTGGAACTAAAGACAATAGAAAATTAAGGTCTCTAGAAACGTGAATGTACAGAAAGCAATGAAGTCTAGCCGCCTTGCCTTAAAGACTGAATATGCTTTCGATATCTTCAGAACAACAGGGGATGGGGAAATCATAAACTAAATACCTATGAAGCATTGACACTTCAAAAAAGTAAACATATCCTTATTGGATGCGTATTTGATACGATACTCAAACAATACTTTAGGATACGTATCACATATTCTAATATTTGTATTATGACTTTTCTTTATTACTTAAAAACTTGAAAAAAACTTAATATTTGGATTCTTGTTACAAATATTCTTATATTACTTTAGAAATACTTGTTTAAAAATCAAGATATGTATACCTATATGATAAAATGTTGAAATATATATTATATATATCAAAGCTGTGGCAGTGCATAATTATTAATCACCAAAGAAGTGAAGACAAAAAAAAAAAGATTTAAAATTGAAGGAGAATTGAATTGAGTGTGAGTAAGTTAACTCCTATCATTAGAAAAAATAAAAATTATTTACGCCAAAATTTTGGGTTTGAGGTTTTACATGTGTGAGATTCTTCTATTAATTCTCTTTCATCAAATGCAAATTTACATTCACAAATCACAGTCATTTCAAACGAATTTTTCTCCTTGGATTTAAATGCAATATGTATATTTGAATCTGGTATGATTGCATTGGATTAGCCTTTGAGTAGTAGGGGCTATCAATCTCCCAATATAATGAATTATTGAAGGGGGTACTTTTTCTGAAAGGAATTGTTTCAATAGTTTTGAACCTATTATTTTCAAAACTCATACAATACATTGTGTTTGCAGCTAAAGTTTTTATACAGAAAATTTGGAGTGAAGATTTATTCAATAAGAAATACCAAATTAGTTAATTCCAAGATGAGATGTGCAGATAAGGTATGGCTTAAAGAAAAAATTTTCTTATCTGAATTTTTTATGTTTATGGCAGATGATTCTTAGCTGTGGTTGTGCCTACTCTTTGGTGAGGACCATTTAATTAGGGGAAGTAATATCTGATGCATGTTGTTCTTAAACACGTTGTGATGAGTACTGTGTTATTTGGTCAGGGCTTCATTTGCTGGAGATCTTCAGTCAATATCTTGGATGGCGATGGCTTTGGGAGGCATATGTGGTAGTTTGTTAGGAGGCTATGTATTATCCAATTTACAAATAGATACAATTTTTCTTCTATTTGCTGTACTACCAACCATTCAGTTAATATCATGCCAATTGTGGTTGACAAATCTGTTGATAGCAAAACTTTTCAAGAGTATTATATTTCAAGAGTTTCAACTTCAAACGGGATTACTTCAGATGGAGATAGTGCTTTCATCAAAAAGTTTAATAAAGTATTGAAAGAAGAAAGAAGGCAAAAAGAATGGCAAAAGGTTGGCTGTGAGGACCAGAAAATCAGATATTGTTGAAAAAGATGATTCCTTGACATTGAAGCAGTGTCACTCTATAAAAGATGCAATTTATGATTTGTGTCGTGGTTTTCAGACAGCCAATGATATTAAGGTACTTTCTTTTTGCAAATTTATTTAACCTAGGATTTTGTCAACGCGCTGTTGTATTCATTTAGAGGCAATCTTTTCTGAGGGCATTCTTCCCATTTAAGTCTTATTATATAAATAGCCTGACTGTTTCTAGATCCTGAAGATCTGCCTTTTCCTTTAATCTAAAAGCAGAGGAAATTATTGCATATTATTTGATAGTGTCTTCCTTTTTCATATCAATCATTCTGTTGTAGAGTGGAACTGAAAATTGTTACTTTTTGTTAGATTTGTCTTATTTATTTTTAACATAGAAGCCTGATTCATTTTTTCTAACAAGTTCTCTATTAAGTGATTAACTAGTGTGCTTTTGCATTTTATGAGAATGTCTTTTATTTTTAATGTGAAGGTGAAGAAATGTTAACATTTACAA